GGGGGTGGGGGGGGGAATAACTCTGTCTCGGGCCTTGTTTCCTTCTCGCTATTGGGTAGGTACTTTGCCGTCTCAGTTGAAGGACTCGAACTGCATGGCTCTCACTTTGAATTTGGGCGAGAACGCCATGATTAAGGTCTAACTATCTGTATCGGATGTCATGCAACCATTCTCGAACAAGAGAGTCAAAAGACTATATTCGTATTAACAAAGGAAATCAAAAATTTGATGTCATGCAAATTCGTTAGATAACCACCGGCCCCAACATATAGGCGTGCACGATGATGACGTAATATGCAAGAGAATTAATATATTTATAGGGGCACACTGCATTTAGAGTCCTAGAAATATAATTCATTAACTCTTTTATTATTCACATGTAGGCAACTAGGAACTATAGCATACAGCCTCATGGTGTGTTTTTCAACAAATCGAACGAGGGTGCACTCTATAAGGATTTTACATCCGGTAAAGCAAAACTTGATGACGTCGTAAGACCAAATATGACTYACGTGTATAGTTGGAGTGTACCAGAACATACCGGACCGACGAGAGACGATGCACAATGTCTAACATGGATTTATTACTCCAGTGTAGACCCAGTCAAGGACACTTATTCAGGTTAGCCAGCTATTTTGATGGATAGTTAGGGGTTTCATGGCCGCTAAGAATTTTTTACCTTCTTTTTCTTACTTGTTGTTGTTGTTGTTGCATTGGTTTTTATTTTATTTTGTTTTTATTTTATTTTGTTTTTGTTTTTGTTTTTGTCTTTTTGATTTCATAATTCATATGCACCTCATGCTTAAACAAAAGGTCTTTTCGGCCCCCTTCTGACGTGCAAGAAAGGAGTCCTAGATGAGTCTGGTGTGAAGCAAAAGGGAATCGATAAAGAGTATGTGCTTCTTTTAATGGTGACTGACGAGAGCATGTCTTGGTATCACGAGGAGAATAAAAGGCTATTTTGTTCTGACCCATCTGCGATAGACAATGGTGAGAAATCTCTTTTTATTCATTTTAAAAACATACAGTTTGATGCACTTCAATCAGTCAAGCCCTTTTAACAAACTGAATAAATAACCACTCATAAGGCCGCACTTCCATCGTCGGTAAAACAAACCATTTTAAAAAAATGAAAAAGACACTGATATTATCTGACTCAAACAGATGCTATTGAGATTTGCTATACTCTCGATCTTGTCACAAGAGGACTGTTTACACAACGCACCCGATCGTTCAAAGTGGCACAACATGCAAATCATCCTGGACATGAAATTGGTTTTGACAAAACGCGTATCGTAGACCAAGAAGAGAATCTCCATCAAAGACTGTTTCTAGTAGCTTTGCACATGGAAGATGACAGATCAAGGACGACTGCATCAAACTTCCAAAAATATATAGAACGCTAGGAAATCAAAAATCTTGTGCACGTTTCAGCTGAAGAAATAGAAAACGCGCGCGCGTGCTGTGTGCAGTTATAAACTAGCACGCGCGTGTTGGCAGAACACGAGAGAAGTGCTGCTTCTCAATACTTCTCGAAAGTTCTGTCAATCCTCAAGTGCTATATAACTTCATACAGCACAGCAAGCAAGTTTTTTTAATATCTTTTATGAAATACAAATTACAATAACTGTTATTTTGGATAGAAATTACGCAACTGAAACTGCGCGCGCGTGCTGTGTACTCTTATAAAGCAGGTGCACCCAGCCAATCAGAACGCAAGATTTATAACAGCTATTTTATAAATCACTATTGTAAAAATCAAAATATATGGTTTTAATGAAGAAGGACCGTGATCCGTGATTTTTAATAAAAGTCAGAGAAAACAAATAGTATAGTATAGTGTATTTAGATATTCAACTCCAGTACTTCTTCTATTCTTCGAGCTGGACAATTCATTCTGTTTAATCGATTTTCTTCAATGCGCAGATGACGAGAACTACAAAGAGAGTAACAAGATGCATGGAATCAACGGTCTTTTGTATGCAAACCTTAAAAACCTGTCGATGTGTAGACACGAGAAAGTGTCATGGCACCTGATTGGGTTAGGCAATGAAGTAGATATGCACACGGTGACGTTCTATGGACAGACAGTCACGGAAAACAAAAACAGGAAAGATACTGTCAGCTTACTACCTGGTAAGTTGGGCTGGACAGGTTAATGTYTAATGAGCCAATCAGATGAGTCGATTCTATGACATTTCAATGTTCTGGCCTTCTTAATAATAGTTGGTAATAATGAAAACTTATATAGCGCCAATACCACTATAGCCCATAGGCGCTTTAAAATAATTATCATACAATATCTATAATCCTACTACAGGTACTTTCACGACGACATACATGACTCCTGACAATGTTGGCCAGTGGGCTATAGTATGTAAAACCACCGATCACTACTTAGCCGGTATGCAAGCAAAATATGATGTTAGGAAATGTGGGACGTCAGATAATGCAGAGGTCAAAGGAAGAATCAGGAAGTACTATATAGCAGCCGTTGAGAAAGAGTGGGACTACGCACCATCTGGTAAAGATGTTCTGGACGGAACTTCTCTGGAAAACAGCGAGTACGTTCATTTGAAAAAATGCTTTTTAACTTTATACTTCATCCACGAAATGTTTGTTTTTCTTCCATTCCAATGTTAAGTCAATTAGATTTCCCTTGTTCTATCGGTTATATTAACCAAATCCCAAAATTTCTGGTTGCTTCAGCTAGTGTGTCCACTCATTCCAAATCTTTTAAATCTCTGATAGAAAAGCTGTCACTTTTACAAAGAAGAGTAGCAATCGCATTGGTCGCAAGTACAAAAAAGCCTTATATCGAGAATTTGAAGATGAATCCTTTAATAAAGAGAAATTGCGAACAGGCAGTGAATATCTTGGAGTGCTAGGCCCTATCATCTACGCTGAAGTTGGAGATACTATCGAAGTTGTCTTCAAAAACAAAGCGAATTCACGTAGCTATTCTGTTCATCCACATGGCGTATTCTTCAGGTAAGTAATGATACGTATAACTCGCTTGTCTTAAAGTCTAAAGGCATAATAAGCCTTGGCCAAAGCTGAGAAAATACTGAAAACAAAATCGAATTGTGTCAGTAAACTGTTCCCAGGCAGCATTTCAAACCAGAAATAGGCCTTTCAGTTGCAATAACAGGTCACGTGATCCCACTCGCCTTAAAACGAGCGGCTGTGTCAAAATGAAATCTCGATATTAGTAAAGCAAAGTGTTAGCTCATAATGTTGACTATAGGAGGAATGGCATCGAATTTTATAGGGATTTGTATGGGAAAAGTAGTGCTAGAGTGGGCATGCAAGCTTTCCCCACTAAAGCATATTTTCCATACAAATCCTTACATTGAAAACATATTCAATTTTACACTGAGTGCAATTTCTCCTGTGTTATAATTTCTTATTTATATCTCACCCCTGAGACATCCATGACACATCCCTGAGACATCCATGCCACACCCCTAAGACATCCATGCCACACCTCTGAGACATCCATGGCATACCCCTGAGACATCCGCAGAAGCTGAGGCGCATCGTCAGTATAGACTGCCGTCATACGCACTGCTTTGAAGTAGGAAATAATCTGGTCTATATTTGGTGCATCGTTTTCACGTTTATTGTTGGACTTTATTCAGAGAACCCTAGACAAAGATTGAGAATAATCCAAAACAAACAGGGCTACAATACCGCTATCCCACATTGTTAATTGATCAAGGTTATTAGACGGAAGGCCCTAAGGGAAATGTTATTCGGTACGTTTGTACTGAATACTACGACCTAAATACCTATCTCCGATATCCCACTGACTAAACCTAAGACACTAAGTTTGATCAAAAAGATTAATAACTACTCGATTTCTTGGAGTATCAGTTATTAAGCCATCTCGGCCCGAATATCCTAGTTTAAGATGCTGCCTGCATGGGAACAATTAACAAATAAGTTCCTTCTGTCAAGCGCAAAGGTAGGTTAACATCCCTGAATAAATAATACGAGGTTGGAAATAATGAAAACTACCCTCTTTCTTCTTATCCTGTTCGTAGTAAAGGAATGGAAGGTTCTGACTACTTAGATGGTAGCGAAAGTAAAGATAAACTAGACAACAAAGTTTCACCTGGGGAAACATTCACGTATAGATGGACAGTACCGCAACGTGCAGGACCTGAAACCAGTGATACGAACTGCATAACGTGGGCATACTATTCTGATGTAAACTCTGTCAAAGACGCCAACTCTGGACTTGTAGGACCAATAATTGTGTGCAGAAAGGTTGGTGTAGCTTTATTTACTGTGCTAAGTACATATCATCACTGGCTAACTATGACGTACTCTAATATTCAACATCTATCACGTCCCAAATGCCCAATCATAGCAACCATATGCATGATTATACTTAGTGCTAAAAATAGAACGTTTATCGTTAGAATACCTTAACAGAAAACGACAAACGAAAAGATGTTGATCGAGATTTTGCCCTTCTTTTTACTGTCATGGACGAAAACCAAAGCTGGTATATTGACGAGAATATCAAGGAGTACTGTACAACAACAGGTAAGTAGTGAGTGCAGCCATTGTGCTGCTATAAGGCAGGGTCAGTTCCAATACGCAGCCAATACGTGGCTTTCTTTTGAGTTTTTAAATGGTTTCAGAGCTACTCCTAAGAGAGTGTGTTCGTGTTTTCTCTTCATGTAGAAGGGGTGTTTGGCCGTGTATGTTATGGGATGGGATAACCATCATAACTAGTCCTTCACCACAAACATTCGTTTACCAAACACCCTTCAAATGGATTTGGTAAAGTATGGCCATGACATGCTAAGAGAGTTGTTTATTGGTTCTCTCTTATCATTCGAGGGTGTTCTCTAGGGTCTACGTTTTCTCCCTCTGCGAAAATTATCTTTTATCCTTTGATTCGTTTATCTGTCTATTTTCTGATGAGTGTCAGAGAATATTTAAATAAAGAAATGGTTCATTTTTTTCGTTTATTTTAGTCAACAAGGAAGATGAAGACTTTCTAGAGAGCAACAAGATGCACGCCATCAATGGTTATGTGTTTGGGAATCTTCGTGGGCTGGAAATGACTAGGGGAGAGAAAGTTGACTGGTATTTAATGGGGCTAGGCAATGAAGTCGACATGCACACTGTGCACTTCCATGGACAGACGTTTGTCGCGGTAAGGGGGAAAAAACCGTCTACACGACTTGAACGCGATCAACGGATTAAAGTTTAGTGGCATATTTTGGTTGTGTGCGGTCATTTTGTTGGGTTCATCAAGCCACTATATGTAATAAGTGTGAATATTGATTTTACAATAACTTACAAATTTCTCGCGCGCTRATTGGTCATTTTTTATCATCGTTAAGAGGACAGACAGATAAAGCTGACGTCAACCAGCGCGAGCTTTTTCCGTTGGTTGTTTTGATCGCTAAAAATGAGAAGTTTTATCGTTTTGTTATTGTAAAAAACAAATTGACATCAGATTTTTATGTGTCTGTCCTCTTATTGACAATAAATTTCGGCATCACATTGTCAAAGTAGTATGCGGATCCATTCGGCTACGCCTCGTGGATCCACACTACTTTGACAATGTGATGACGCAATTTATTGTCAATAAGAGGACAGACACATAAAAATCTGATGTCAATTTGTTAAATGGATAGAACTGTGGTGAAATAATAACTTACTATCACTACCAAAATGCTTCGCGAATTTTCTTTCTTGTTAAAATTTGTATTTCCTCGTGAGAATAGCAATGTTTTCAACAAGTAATTTTTGTGTGTATATATATATTTTAGAAATCCTTATCTTACCACCGAGAAGATGTTTACGACCTGTTCCCAGGAGTCTTTGCTACAGTTGAGATGATTGCAGACAGCATTGGCAAATGGATGCTCCATTGTCACGTCAATGATCACGTGGATGCAGGAATGGAAACCTTGTTTACCGTCAAGGAAAAGAGTAAGTACATGTATTAAGCGTATCCAGTAGCTCTTTTTACGCAGTGGTTTGGGAACCAGGATGCGTGAAGTTCATGGATGATTTTTTTTGTAACAAATCTTTTCCTGCTATCTTGATTTTCTTCTGTATTTGCATTGTTTGAAAGCTCCAAATAGGGTGGTTACCGACCAATCCACCCTTGGATCAACCCATGCTGGATGTGCATGCTATTTACAGTTACATATTAGAATTCTGTGATTCTCTTTATGCTTGTTTGGTGTTAAAAAGGATAGAGTAGAGTACAAGCATTGTATAACTCAAACATGATTATATTTATTATATACTATATTTATCTTGCAGAAACCGTTCACAGTGCAGCTAGGATGCAAAAACCTAGTTTTTCTGTTTATGTGGCAATGATTGCAACGATTCCTCTGATAGTCACTCAACTTGCATGTTTTGTGCATGGCAATTGAAGTGCTAGCTTTAGTAGCTTAGAAACTGTAGTTCACGTTTTGGTCAACAACGCATTGCTTTGATAATCGTAGCCACGATTTTCGGGAGTAATATAATAAAGAAATGCTAACCCTTCACGGCAGTAAATGACGACCAGTCCATAAAAATGTAAACGCATAGCAGACCGTGCAACGTTGGTGTAGAAAAAAGTAAAAATACTAAATAAATTCACAAACAAAACACAAAGYACAAGAGACAAAATAATTTAACATTTTAATAATTGCTCAAGATWTTCTTTATACATTTGAAGTGTTGTTACTACAAGTCGATGCATTGTGATATTTCTTTAGCTACACATCCCGGGCAGGCATGCAAGGACTCGTGGATATACGCATCACAGTCCAAACAGAACGTCTGCTGACATTTTGTACACGTGGAGGCCTAATGAAAAACATAAAAATTACTGTGAGTCTTGAGAACCAACCATCCCTGAATCAATGTGCACACCCCAGGTGATCCTATGTACACACCCTACTTATGTCTGGGTAAGGACTCAAGGGACAGGTGATCCTATGTACACACCCTACTTATGTCTGGGTAAGG